TTCACCCCTCCCATCGTCAAGCGGCTCCTGGGCTGGAAGAAAGGCGAGCAGAACGGGCAGGAGGAGAAATGGTGCGAGAAGGCGGTGAAGAGCCTGGTGAAGAAGCTGAAGAAGACGGGGCAGCTGGACGAGCTGGAGAAGGCGATCACCACGCAGAACATCAACACCAAGTGCATCACCATCCCCAGGTACCGAGCAGGGCGGCCCCGCCCGGGGGTCCCGGCGGGTCCCGGCGCAGCCCCGGGGGACCCTCGTGCTCCGGCACAGCCCGGGCAGGGTCGTGTCGCTCCCCAGCCCCGCTGCCCTTCCTGCCGCGTTAGCCCTCCCCTGAGCGCTCGGTGCACACCTAACACCCCCTAAAAAATAAACCCACTGGCTGCAGAATTGAATTACTGTCTAGTAACAAGAGCGGGGAACGCAGGGGAGAAAATATGTCTCCAGCCGAGATGAAAAAAAAGTTGGGAGCGCAGTGTGTGATACGCTCACCGCGGGCACTCTCATTGTCAAAACTTTCAGCGCTTTCTCAAGTGCTGTTGCATTAAGAATTTTTCTTTTTTTTTTTTTTTTTCCTGATTGCTGTATCGGGAAAGCGGTTTTGTTTGGGTTGCGTGGCTTCTTGCGTATTATCGAGCCAGATCCTCCTCCGAAGAGGTGATTTAGAGCCCTGCTTCTCTTATGTTTTCAAATTACTTTTTAACTCGGGAATGCAAATGGCAGAGCTGAAGGGGATTGTTTGGAGTGCAAAAAACAAACAAACAACCAAACTAAACCAAAACAAAACCAAAAAATACTCCACCACGTGAGGGCGAATATAACTGATTTCCCTCCCCACTTTTTGAATTAACATAGGTTTTATTTTTAGCCTCCATTCTGAGCTCAACCCATAAATCATAAAGGACGTGTGTATAACTATCCCATCTAAGAATAATTTTCCAAGTAACTTTCAAATGGCTGCCCACAAGTGGTGTTTTATTGCTGCAGATTGTTGATTTCTGTGAGCTCAGCCAGATGACTGCTGGGTCTGTTCCTGATTGTTGTTGGAGAGTACTTTTTTTTTTCTTTTTTTTTTTTAAACAAAGGCCAAAGTTCATCCCAAATATTTGAATGCTGCATAATTGTGTGCTTCTGCGTGAGAAGATATCTGTGTGTGTGTGTATTCATGCTTCTCTCTGGCGCAAACAAATGTATGCTTTCTTGGTTGTCAGAATGATTTAATATGCAGGAGCTGATACAAAGCAGCATCTGTTGCATGAAAAAGTGAAGCAGGCAGCTTAGAAATGTGGATGTTTGGAACTCCTCAAATTTTCTTCCAACAACTGAAGTGGTTTTTTTTTTTTTAAAGGAAAAATAAAAAGTCTCCTTATCTTTTTGATGGTGAATGACTGTGGTAAGATTTTGGCCAGTAATGCAAATCCAGCTCTCAGCCTTTGTTAGAGTTGCTCAGGCTTTTCGCCTACTTGAAGCAGAAATCAAAACCTGTGGAGCCCCCGCACAACACAAATGCCTTAAAACGTATATTTTAAAATTCTTGGTAAGCAGAGTGCTTTCCACATAGATAATTCCTTGTTTAAACCACTTCCCTGAAACGCTTACCATTTCAAAAGGAGAAAATTGCTTGAGCAGCCCTGCTGCTGTGACCTGGGTATTGTGTGCGGCTGCTGCTGACCCGTTAGGGAGCAGGGCACGAAGCCTCTTGGAGCTTCTGTTACTGGGAACAAGGTGCTTTAGGTAAGGGAGGATATTTTATGATTTAAAGGAAGCAAAGAGTTGTGTTAAATACGATGCTTTAATTAAAAAAAAAATTTAAAGGTTAAAAATAAATAACAACACAAACAAATATCACAAGTCATGAATACTCTCACCTGCAGAGATTGTCCTGGTTGCTCTTGCTGAATGTCTCTCTCTCTCCCAGACCTTGTTCTGTTGATGAAAATCTGTGCAGAAATTAAAACATTTCGTGTTCATTTATGACACAGAGCCCTGGATCCTGCAGATCTTAAACCTTGGTATGGGGGAAGCATCAGCCTGTTTTGGTGGGAGCTCCTTATGCCTCGGCACAAGTTTTTAAGCACAACTTCATATGTGCTTTTATTATTGTTTAGTCTGTATGTCACAGAGATCCAAATGAGCCTGGTGAGGTTAGTCTGTGCTGAGGTGTTCATATCTATATATCAGGGATTGGGGAATGGTGTGGAAATGTGGAACAGCCTGTCTGGAAGTCAGTGGCAGAGCTGGAGCTCTGGCCAGGCCTTGTAACTTTAAGAGCTGTGCCTTCTCTCTGGACTGCACTGCTTGTCCTAATGTATCTGTGAATCTGATTACTGTGTCATTTGAAATTAGTGTTTGCAAGTCAATTTTAGTGTGCTTTTAGTTTGCTATTTGTTTGCTCATTTTATTTAATAATTCTACATGGCATTTTACTATTTACTCAAATAAGTACGTTGGGAGGGGGGAAAAAAGGGGAAAAACCATCATTAAGGATTAGCTCATGTTGTGCATTGTCTGTAATGCATCAGTAGACTGAATTACAGTGGAGCCATGCCAGTGATGACTCTGGCCCAGCAGGAGTAGGGTAAGTCCAAAATTAGCTGTTGTGTCCATGAGACAAAGCAAGTTTCAGATGTAAAAGTGCTTGAGCTTTGCAGAAACACTGCTCCTGGGAATAAGGGCTACCCAGCAAATACCTGTGGTGATCAGGTCGGGTTGTTTCAAGAAAGAACAAGAAAAAAGAATAATTTTTGTTGTCGGGCTAAGGAATTAGAATATCAAATTTATTCTTGCTGTCATTTTTATCTACTGGACACCACAGGCCCCAGGTTTTCCACTGGAAGAACCTGTGGCAAACTGCAAAAGGCTGGAGAGGCCTTCAAGGATTTCAGTGTGACACTCTCCTGGCAGGAGTTTTCCTTCTTGTTTTTACTGCTGGAGGAGGAAGTAATTTCCACCTGAAAAACTTGCCGGTCTCAGACCATCTGATGGTTTCTTGTGCTGCAGTTGGTGGTGCTGAGCAGGATGGCTCCTGCAGAGGACCTTCCTTCCATCCTCAGCTGGGACACAACTGCCAAAGGGTCCTTCAGACCTCTGTGCTCTGAGCTGGTGGGCTTTGGTGTCAACCTAGTGAGTCATAGTCAGCTGGGTCTGCCTGGCAATAAGATACTTTTTCATACTTTATTGGGTGATAAAGTTGAAAACACTCATTCTTCTGCCCATTAAAATACATCCTTTGTAGCAGTTGCATCAACCTTGAAAGCTCAGCTTTCAGGATTTTTATCACATTTCCTGTGCCCTGGCAGCATTTTGCCCTAGAAATGAAATGTGCAAGTCTGAATTATGGTGAGTGTTTCATTCAACCTGTACTGCAGAAACCAAAACATGTGATGGGCACTCAGTAATTTCTAAAAGCTGTGCAGTGTCCGTAGTCTTGCTGATATGGGATGAGACAGTAAATGCTTTGCTTTGAGAACTTTAATGGTGTGCTACACATATGAAGACATAAATCTCACGATATTTTGTAATATATTTTCATATGCATATTTTTCTTTTGAACTTATTACTGTCTTTATTTGTTTTGGTATCACCAGTGGTTTTAGGGGAGCCAGGATTCTTGTATGTAAGGAGCACCTTCTTTTAAGTGGTGGGGTTTTTTTTAATTTAGAAAATAGTCTGGAGGAGAGGTGGGTGTTATTTCTTGTGGAACTCATCTGATAAGGAGAGAATGTACCAATTGAAATGGAAACAGGGTACATTTGCTTCTTAAAAGTGGCTGAACAGGGTAAGTGTTCCTTAAATGATTTACATTTTGGTGGGGAAAACCAGGGATAATACACAAGGAACATAATACAAAAGGATCACAATACACAAGGATAATATATAAAGATTTTAAGATCATCTTGGCTGTGAGCACAGCTTCTGTTGTGTTGGTAGTTGACCACACAGTATATGCAGGAATTGCTCATATTCTTTGCTTTGCATTAATAACAGGAAATATGAAAATTCTAAGTATATTAAGTGTCAGTGGGTGTCTCCAAGACCCTCAAGTAGGTTGTGATTTCACACCATGGTGTGATTTTTTGGGGGTTATTGGATTTGATGATCCTTGTTGGTCCCTTCCAGCTTGGAATATCCTGTGTTTCTGTGCTCTTCTTTTGAGACTGGTGCCCATCTGGTTTTGTTAATAAGCAAAGGGCCAGCCACAGTTCTGTGTGTCCATGTGTAAATATATATATATATGTTTTTTAATGTCCATTTTAAACCACCTTGTTTTCAATTAGGCCTGTCCCTGTATGGGAGGAGCTTTAATATTGCGTGGGCTTGTTTAGGAGTGTCTGCACTGGAGATGGTCACAGTGCAGCCCCTGTGTACACACACACTCTGGCTATCACTGTACTGGTTTGCTCCCTATTTTACTGGTAATTTGACTGCTGCAAACCTGTGTCCACTGACCTCTGTACTGCCCGAGCTTTATGGGCAGGTTTTACAGCCCTGGCCTAACCTTTGTGCTGCCTCAGTCCCCACAGGAGCTGCTTTAGCTGTGGCAGGGATAGCTCAGGGTGCACTGCTCTACAGACCCGTTTGTAACCAGCTTCTGTGGCCTTAGCTGGACTTGGCAGGACAGGGCTGAAGGTGAAAACACGGTAAGTGCCCAAAGGCCTCGGCTCAGGTGACTTTTTTGGCTCCTCTTGTCCACCTCAGTGCCCAAAGGCCTCGGCTCAGGTGACTTGGCTGCTCTTGTCCACCTCGTCCTCCCTGCCATGGAACCCCCCTCTCTGGGCGCAGGTTTCTGCTCCTCACAACCCCTCCAACTCCTTCTCCCCACCCCTGTGTTGGAAATGATGGAACTTTGCTAATAACTTTTCTGATTACGAGCCCCAGAGTCAGTGCCTCAGATGCCGGCACGGATAAGGGGTGTGGGGTTCCCTCGTAGGCCGCACGACGCCATTTCCAAAACCAAAACGCTGCTGTGAAGCTCAAGCAATAAATGTTGGTATAACCAGTCAGGGAGCAACTAACTGCACATTCAGTTATTTCAGCAGAGATGGAGGAACTGGGAGAGGAGGGAAGTGAGGGAAAAATCACAGTTCCTTCCCTCAAAGTAGTTCCTGCTGGAACAGCACGTCAGACCCAGCCCTTTATTGAGGTATCTCCTCAAATTTGTAATTTCTCTGTCAACAGAGAAATACAGTTCAAACCCACTTGTGTTGGTTTTGAATACAATTTTTTTGGAGTATATTGTTTTTTGAATATATCTTTTGATAAGTATATATTTATCTTTTTACCTGAGATGTGCAGGCCAGCTCACATTTTGCATTAAAACTGGTGGTAGAACTCCTCTCTTGACATGAAAAACAGCACAGCAGCGTTTATACAGAACATTGGGGGCTAAGGGGAAAAGATGTCTTTTGCATTTGTTGAGATGCTTTCAAATATTCATATCTCTGCCTTTTTTCCTTCTCCCCTTTCTCAAGAGACTAAAATAGTCAAAATAGCTTCTGAAAGGGCTCGTGATATTCTCGTTATATTGTATAGTAAGTGCTGGATCTGTGTGAATAAAATATTTAAAATGGTTGCTTAACTCTTATAGTATTAGGAGAAGACCCTGAATATTGCAGTCATTTAAATATAATGAGAAATAAATGCAAAAAATTGATGAAATAAAGAAATACACACTGCACTGGATTATCACATCAGGGATCCAATTAAAATGAGTTCTTCTAATAAATATTGGTTTAATAATGTAAACTTGTGATTGCTATATTATTACAACAAAAATAAAATTAACAAGATTTAATGGACTGAGCAGCCATTAATTTTCACTTGTTAATTTATTAGGAGCTTCTAATGCTGTTAGATGCACGGTAATGCCATTATCCTGCATGAACTACTTGATGAAATAAATAGGGCCAAGCAGTGCTTGAGTTAAATTGAAATCAGATTTTATTCCCAAATTATCTTTTTCTGTTGTTTGGGGTTTTGTTTTTTATTATTACTATTTTTTAGCTTTCCTCTATTGAGTGCAATTAAATTTTCAGGGATGGGATGCAGCACTCTCTTCCAGTAAAGGCTTATGAATAGTCCTAATTAACTTTTGTCCTTGCCTGCCTTGATGTGTTGTGTAAAAAGCCTTTTCCAGTCTCGAGCTGCTTGATTGGCAGTGGAGGGAGAGATGGGAGAGAGGAGAATAAAGCCAGGGCAGAGATTCTTCCCCAGGCACTGCAGTTCCAGCAGGTGGACTCCACCAAGTTCAGCAAATGTTTGCTAATTCCATTTGGACCAAAGACGAGGAAATTGGTAATAAGTGGGCTCCTGTCAGTGATAGTGCAACCCAGGAGACAATAATGTGTGGATTGTTGCAGTTAATACTGGTTTTAAAGGCTTTTTGAAGCCTTTTAGACCTGATCCTGGTTTGTTCACACATCTCTCTTTGCCATGGTTTGGGTGAGCAGGGAAGTTTGGTTGCTCCTGGTATTGTGGCTCTGCACAAACAGAACACAAAGCCACAGCTCTTTCTGTGTTCCTTCAGAAGCAGAGATCACAAATGTGAGCAGAAATAAACTACTCTGTGCATGGTTATTAAAAAAAACCCAAGGGTAACCCTTACCTTCAGAAGAACCCAGCCAGGTAAGAAATAATAAAATAATAACACCCTGCTTTGTAGAGGATCACCCAGGAGTCATCTGAGCTCCAGTAGGAAAACTTTATTGTCAGCTAAGGAGCCTGTTAAACCTAATCCAGATTTGTTCATGCAGCAGCAAGGTGGGTTTCTCTGTCCTACGTGGCTGTGTGTGGTGCAGGGAGATTTTTGATGTATTGGGAGGAGTTGTTGGTGAACCTCAAGTAAGAACATGCTTAAAAATCCAGGAAGACCTACCTGTTAGAAAAATAACCCGTGTAAGTCTAGGAAAGGTGAATAGGTGATCTTGATAAATTTTATGTGTCACAAGAAACACCTTTCCAGCTCGCTTGCTGCTCAGCACTGAGGTCAGGAGGGCAAAGAAGCTGCAGGTTTCAGGTGGTGCAGCTGTGCTGGGTGTGCCCACCTTGTCCTGGAGCACCTGCACCCTCAGCACAGGTGGGCTCTGAGCCATGGATGGGAGCAGCTGCTTCTCCATCTCCAGAGGAGTATGCACCAGCTTAGGAAAAGGGAGGGTGTGAATCCTGCAGAGAAGATTGCAGGGGATGAGGTGTCAGGAGCTGAGGTGTGAAGAGATTGATCCCTCTCCCTGGGACTCTTGCTTCTTCCAGGCTGCAGGATCCTCAGGAAGGAGTCTCAGAGTCAAGGTAGTGGGTTAAACCATCCTTAGCAAACTTTATAATTTGTGGTTGAAAATGTCAGCAAACTTTTCCTTACAAATGGTGTCATAGGAAAGGCCGGAGTTTATCTCTGAGTTGGTGACGTTCATTAACCGTAACACAACCTCTTCTGAAAAGGAAGTCAGAGCAGAACTTTCCTCCTTTGTGGTGAAGCTGCAGCCAGCACTGGTTGAGTGATGGATGCTGGTACTGACTCTCCTTTTTCACAAAAACAGAGGCGAAACTTTGTCCTTCCTGCTCTTGTTGCTTGAATATGAAAAGAGAAATTCACTTACAAATGTAGAACAGTTAAAGTTCACAAAAATATTGGGCTTAGAGGAAGACGTGTGGCACTGAGAATGCCTCTGTTTCTGTGTTGAATGTGAAGCTGTTGTTGCTTTATCTATTTAACAGCTAAAAAATCCCCTTTTCCCCAATTTTTCTTTCCCTCCATAACTGGATTTTCAGTGTTGCTGTGTGGGAAGACAAAGACCCAACTACGAGCACCTTTAGTTTTGTTGTTCTCAGAAAGACCAGATGTGGTTATTTTCATAGGGATACAAAGTCTGTGGTTTCCATAAATATGGAACTTCACAGAAAGGTCCTTTTTATTGTTTGTTGGACAAATTGTTGTTGCCCTTGACTCAGATGCAGGGATGGTTTGTAGCACACGTGTAACAGTATCTGAAAAATTATACCAGTATTTAAAAAGCACTCTTTGTCTAAAAGAAAGGGCTAATAAGCAGCTGGAGTCTGGAATCTTTTCCCACTCTTTTTGCACATGTGTGGTTACATGGATTTCAGTAGATTTACCCCTGATTTCCATGCAAGTGAAAGCAGAGTCAGGCCAGCACAGGAAGGCAGTGAACTGAGAAACGAGGAGAGAGGTGTTTGTAGGTCGAATATTATCCACTTCTCTGTTTTCAAGTCAGGGCTTTTGGGGTATCTGTGGGTTGTTCTCTGTGGGATTTGAAGCCTTCCCAGCAGAGCCTGTGAGACCTGGGGGCTCCAGTCCCACCAAGACTGGGACTCGTCAGCCCCTGGGCTGGAAATGTGGCAGGAAACCAGGCAGGATTGAGTTGGAAGTTTGATGAAAACAATACTTCTCTGGAAAACATTTCATTTTCAGAGGAGCTCTTGCTCCTGTTTCACTGAGGGTTTTCTGGTGGGCACTGATGGAGCTTGGCAGAGACCCTCCACATTTGGAGCTGGTAGTGTCCCCTGATCCTGTGTAGAAGGTGATATTTGACTTTTCTCACTGTGTTGGTTTTGTTCTTATTTTTATTCTTATTTTTATTCTTATTTTTATTCTTATTTTTATTCTTATTTTTATTCTTATTTTTATTCTTATTTTGTTTTAAGCATTTTAATCATTTGTTTTAAGCATTTTAACCATTGGTGAAACCCTTGTTATAAAGTGCTTTTCCCTGAGCCCCATTCCCAGCTACACAAGCACAGGAAGGAGGAAGGTTTCCTGCATAAAGCCCACCCAAAATTACAGGCCTAGAACTCTGAGGAGCACAAGGTCTGCTAATAACAGCTGTCCTTGCTTTCCCAACAGCAGGAAAGGTCTAGCATAGCTATTGATGTTGGCTTGGAACCTTCAAGCCAAACTCTAGTGGGCTCTGGAGACCCCATGCAGGAGTTTCATGGGCTTAGAATGGTGAAAATCACATATACTTTGGTTAATCTTCCTCCATATCTGCTTCTTGGGCCTAAATTTACCTGATTTACTCAATGTAAGCTTCACCATAAGTCAAAACTGCCCTGTTGGCCTGTTTAATGTTTCTTATGTGTTCTGTTAAAAATTTTCTTTTTTTAAAATTTTTTTAATGGCCAGTTCTTGCAGAGGGACGACTTAGAACAGTAGAAAGCCCAAACCAGATTTTAAAACCACTGTGGCTGGAGCAAGCTTTACAGAACAACTAAATGCCAAATTTTAAAAAGCAGATAATCACTGTCTGCTTATCAAAGCTAACACAACTTTATAGCTGATTTCTGTCGCCAGCAGGAGTCTCCTGGCAGTCTGCAAACCGTGTTGAGCTTTGCTCTGAATTAGATGCCATAAATAACTTGTGTGTAGGTAGACAGCTGATCATTGAAGCTTTTTCCCCAAGCCTGGCTTTGCTTGTTTGGTAGAACTATAGGCTGAAAGTTCACCTATAGAGTTGCAGCTGCCTGTTTGTTTTCCCCCAGTCATAACTGAATAAAGATCTGTTTTGACTTGTGGATTGCTGCATAATGGATGTACACTGTGGTTTAGGGAAGACTGGAAACATCAGGTTTTGCTCCACAACACTGTGTAGCATCGAGCAAAATATTGTATTACTGCTTGTACCTTGCT